ATTCGTATTCTCATCATTTAACATACAGCTCAAAAGTTAATTTATCATTTATTATCTCCACAGAAACTTAATGAACCACTAAAATGAGTTCATTCTTAAATGTTGTTTAAATGTATGTTTTGGCTTAGCTCATCCAGTTGACTCTTGCTCTTCCTCTGCTTCCAACCTTTGAATTCTTTTGCATTAATTCATTATGCTATTACACTTAAAACACTACAGCTTTTAACTAGTAGCTGAAAATGGATTTTTATTATTTGTGTGAACTCTTGGTAATACTCTTATCATATATGACAGTATGAGACATTAAATTTATCTAAAAGATTCGGTAGTTATCATTCCTAAGACTGTTGTAACAAAAATTATTGTGTACATTTATTCACTCATTTACTATGTAATCATATCCAATGATTATAGTTCATGTTTTTATGTATTGGCTTTTACTTGCATTTATGTCATACCATTGATTGAGTAAGTTTACAAGACTGTTTCTATTCTTTAATGATCACATTTCCTAAATTTCAGATAACTAAATCATCATGAAGAATTTTAGCTTGACTTTTAAGCTTGTGGTGCTATTACTCCTCCACTACTGTAGAACCAAAACCAATAGTACTGTTCTTATTGAACTACTATGCATATACACCACACAAATCCAATGACTGCAAAAGTACCAAATATGGTAGTAAAATTAAGCCATAGCTAAAATGCATGACATTATGACACTGTAAAACCAATGGAGGGCACCAGAAAACAAGCATAGCTTAATGCTCATATTGCGAGTGCATAACAAATGGGGCTTCATGTGTACACTGGATTTTATGGTGAATATTATTACATGCTTCACTACTGTGTAGCTAAAATTTCTATTTTTTGTTGTTGTTATTTCACATTTTGCACTGAACTAAATTGTTCTTTGTTATTGATGTGAGGCTCTTGTTATTGACCATTATCATATAAAAACTTCAGCAAATATATTCATAACATTTGTAATCTTTTTTAGCATTACTAAGCAAACTTTATTAGACCTATACTTACATACCCACTGTTGCTCAACATGTTGCTGGTGTCCATTGTCTTCTTGTTGAGTGTCAGTGAAGTTATTAGTCAATGTCCACCTTCTTCAGGTAAGACACTGGATGTGTATAATAACAACTGTATAGGTTTTTATAGGTATCTACCTGAGGCATGAGGGAAACTGTTATGCTAATGGATCATATTTTCATGATGATGGCATAATCAACACTCCTCTCGAGTGTATATTGCCTAATTCTGCTGTAAATGGTGGACAACAATGGATTGGTCCTAATGGAACAGTTCCTTGTCCTGGCAGTAATTCAAATTTGATTTGCACTGTTGAATCCTACAATATCCTCAGTTTTTACGTGATTAATAATCTTCATCAATTAAATGATGGCTGGTACAAGTGTTGTCTACCCACTGATTGTTCAGATCCTAACACTAACATCATCTTTGCTAATATATTCAGTAAGCGGAGAGTATAATCACCTAATGATGTAATATTCTTTATTTGTAGAATTTGCCCAAATAGAATCATTTACTGTGGCTGATCTTCCTTCTGATATGACAGCATATCCTCAGAAATTTTAATTAAACTGTATTAAAATTGGATTCGTTCATTACGATGTTAGTATCAGCATTGGTAGTACTTTGCTGGCTAATTACACTAATTGTGGTGATAAGAGTAGTAACTGTCATGGTACTGTGTTAGTTAGTAGGAGCAACACAGTAAAATATACTGTTGATATCACATGGAATGGAATGACTGTCAATAGTGAATCAATCAGAGATTTTAATGCTTTTGGAGATCAATTATATCAGTGTGAAGTAAAAGTTACTAATCAACCTACTAGAATATGTAATGTAACTATAAAAGGTAACAAAATTATAATAGATCATTAAATACCCCATCTTTATTTATGCAGTTCCAGCAACTGCTCCCTCTTCTCTTACTGAAGTAAACAAGACAGTTACCACTATCACTGTCAGTTGGACTCCACTTGATTCATCTGATGCTGATGGATATGTCAGTAGTCAATGTCACTTAGTGACACAGACACTGTGCAGACAGTACAGGTGGAGGGAAGTAGTAATAATACAATCACACTGAATGGACTGAGAGGAGGAACAACTTATAGCATCACAGTCAGAGCCTATCAACAATTACTATGACCTGCTAGTAGTGCAATCAGTGTACCCTGAGTAGCCTCTTGCCACTAGCCAGACCCAGCGGCAGGCTGATTCCCCAGCCTACAAACCCTTCAACCCAGACACTAACAGCCTCATTGGGCCTGGTGGATCCCAATGACTGTAGGCTGGGGAATGGTATATCTGGGTAATGGGGAATATCTATGGTCTGGCTAGAGAGACTATCCCCAGCCTACAATCATTGAGATGACTGTAGGCGGCGGGGGAATGGTCTGGCCTGGCACTGTGGCCAGCGAGACTACTTGATGTTATTTGGTAGTCCTTGTTGTATATCTTGTTCTGGAGGTTCTCTTCTCTTGTTATTAGAGAGAGAGAGAGAGGGCTCCAGTTAATTGTCAATCAAAATGTCAATAGTGTCTCCATAGCAACAGTGACAAACACCATCACGTGATCCAAAATGGCAACTTTGAGAGAAGCTTGTCTGGACGCATTTAAAAGAAATGATCATAAAAAAGCTGTTCTTTTATTACGTTTACAGATTCCGCCTATATTACTTAACCAGGATGCACCTGGCCTGCTTTATTATTCTATAAGTAATGGCTGGTTAGATGTTACAAGAGATCTCGTAAGCGGTTACTCTCTTTTTGGGCCACCGTATGAATGCTACTATAATGGTCTGTCCTATCTTTATATTGCTGCTAAAGGTAATCACGTTGATATTGTTGAATATCTTATTAAAGAGTATGCTGGCTGTGATCCAATGATGAATACTAGTAAAACTGACAGGGTCCCTGTTCTTCATTTTGTAGCTAGTGCAGGTTTACTTGATGTCTTGAAGTGTATGGTCATGAACATCAATGGTCATATAATGGATGAACAATATCGTACTACTTATGGTCAGACTGTTCTTCATCGTGCTGTTAAACACATGCATGTTTTAAAGTACCTCATTAATGAGTGCAGCTGTGATATAATAACTCCTGATAAAGATGGAGATACCATTCTACATGATGCATCTGGTAAAGGACTGCTTGATGTCATGAAGTACCTCATCAATACTCATCACTGTAATCTAATGACTACTAACAATAATGGTCAGACTGTTCTTCATCTTGCTGTTAAACACATAAATGTTGTGAAGTACCTCATTTATGAGTGTAACTGTGATATAATGGCCACTGATAAAGATGGACAAACGCCTCTTCATTATGCTGCCAGGTTGGGTACACCTGGAGTTGTTAAATTCTTTTTATCAACTGGTAATTGTGATCCTTTGGCTAAAGACATTAAGGGGAGAACACCATTACAACTAGCTAAGGAGAGACTGTATGTTAGTGATACTATCGTTGCTATCTTCAAGAAGTTTGGTAACGTTAAAATATCTCATCCAATTGATTCTTATGTTAACGTTCTCCTTGTGGGTAATCCTGGAGCTGGTAAAAGTACTCTTAGTCATGTCATCAATGACACAGCTACTGGCCCTTTTGTTCTTGGTTCCTTTAGAAATGTTGGAGGGGTAGTGCCCTGTACTGCTGGCATCATTCCTTATAAAATACAACACAGGACACTGGGTAACATCATTCTTCATGATTTTGCTGGTCATTCAGAATATTACTCCAGTCACAGTGCTGTCATTGAGAATCTGTTACAAGGTTCTGGTGGTGTGTTCCTGATAGTAGTCAATATTTTGGAAAAGGAAGCAGTCAAACAGCTTCATCAGTGGCTAACAGTTGTGAGAAATGAAGCACAGAAAGCTCTTAATCAATGCCATGTTATTGTAATTGTCAGTCATGTGGATGAGATAAGTAATCCTGTTGAAAGGAGGAGAAAGGAAGAAATACAGGAGATTATTGTAAGGGAAAGGTATGATAGTGTCTTCTTAGATTGTCGTAAGCTTGGTGGGAGTGGTGTGGATTCCTTTTTTAAAAAGTCATCTAGTGCCTGTGAGTCCATTCGTAGTACAAGTGGAAGGAATTTGAATCTT